ATTATTCCCGGTCCAGTAAGCGAAGTAGCAACGCCAGTGCCTGTTAACGCCACGGACATAGAGCCGGAAGTTATCGCGATTTTATGTAAAATGCTTCGGGCTCTTCCTAACTTTTTCATAGTGTTTTGTTTGACCCTCTAAGTAAGCCAGGATTAAGTTCGCTTTATTCAAACGAAAGTTTTCAGCATTCAATTCATTGGGTTTTGTAGGTAAATTAGGATAAAGTGGAGGTGCTGATGGTATAACATCCATTATATATACTAATGTACGACGCTTTTGGAAATAACGTAGAGGAGCAGCCACATCACGACAACCGGGATTACTGGAACTGGAGGGCCTTTAGGAAGATGTTTCCGTACGCGGGTGCTAGTAAGTTCGAAAGAAGGTCTGATGGTATTTATTACCAAGGCTCCAGAATGTACAGCAATGCGGACTTACAGCCAACGCTGGTGAAGCAAATAGACGATCAGCTGAAGCATCCAACACCTACCATACAGCATCCCACGCCTACTGTACAGCATAAGCCGGTACAAGGTTGGTCAAATGAGTTATTGTTAGGCACCAGTACTTATCCGATACCAGCGGTTCCATTTGACAAACACCCAAGCTTGGATTTGACATTAAACATGCGTGTATCTAACAACCATTCCTTCCACCTGAAGGTGAAAGATATCTTCAAAGACATACCCATTGTTCATACCACAGCTAAGGAATCTCACGAATGGTTAAGTGGTCCTAACATGCGTTATTGGCCGCAGCAATTGAACTTTGCGGTTTGGTGTGCCACTAGCGGCTGTGGGGTAAGCGCGAAGTTGATGAAGAATTCGATATTTATGTTTCATTTTCACTTCACGGTTAGAAGAATACTTTACGAAATGGGTGTTACCTCATTACCTGGAGATCCCATGTTTTACCCAAGGGATAATAAATACAGCGTGCCGGCTTACAACGAGCTTTGTAAGGAGTTTGGAGTTGTAGGGAAGGATTTCAGGTGTACCGCAGGCGCTAACAACGGCCTAGGACATATTTGGGCTTATTGGGGGATTGGTGGGCATGAGCTAAGCGATAAAGAAGTGCATTCGCTGCAGTTGCAATGGACCTCTGGGTATCACAGAGAAACCCACGACAATAGCACCTTCTTCGAACCTGATTCTAAGGTTACTAAGGAAAT